GTCCTCACTGTGTCTGTGTCTGTGTGGAGGGGTGTTTCCCTTTTGACAATGCCTATGGGTCAAGAGGGAAAGAAACAGTTAAAGAGTGGTTGCCTGAATGTCTATCTCTATGAGGGTTCAATAAATAAATGTTGGCCAACTATCATAATCCCTGATAATTATTTTATGTATTTAGAGCACAAGGCAAAACTTCTTAACCCACTTGTAGAATGACTAGTGGTGGGCGATGGTGCAGAGCTGGCAGGAGAGGTGACAGGAAGCGCATTGTATGTCATGAGGGAGGGCTGGTTTCCAGTGCTCTTTGTGATTAACAAGTGACCCTGGGAAACTCCATTCACCTTTCTGGATCTCAAAGTTCCTGTTTGTTAAACTGAAGTTGGGGGTAGTGGTGCGTTGTGTAAGGGTGACTAGCTATTTAAAATAACCTACATGACTTACACCTTATAAAGCATTTGTATGTATTTTATCTTGGGCTTGTTGTTGTTGTTGTTTTTGTACCTGGGATTGAACTCAGGGACACTTAGCCACTGAGCCACATCCTCAGTCCTATTTTGTATTTTATTTAGAGACAAGGTCTCACTGAGTTGCTTAGCACCTCTCTGTTGCTGAAGCTGGCTTTGAACTCAGGATCCTCCTGCCTCAGCCTCCAGAGCTAGCTGCTGGGATTATGTATTTTATCTTAGATAAATTTCAGGAGATGGGAAAAGCAGAGTATTATTTTACAAATGAGGAAACTGAGCTTAGACAAGTTCGAGATCACAAAGCTACTGTGAAGAATTTAGACAGATGGCAAACTTGGGCTTTTAAAGTCACTTTTGATTGTAAATGGCTATGGTTTTGTTTTCAGTATTATTACATTGTTTGTCTATGAATTCTAGTTTTAAAATTTCCAGATAATGCCCTATTGAAGAATGTCAAATTTATCAAAAGTCATGTATATATTTTTTCCCTTTTAAAACAGCATTAGTGCGAAGCGTAATGACAAATGTTTGTAATCCCAGTACTTAGGAGACTGAGACAGGAGGATCAAAAATTTGAGGCCAGCCCAGGCAATTTAGTGAAAACCCAAAATCCATATCGAAATAAAATTAAAAGGTCTGGGATGTAGCTCAGTGGTATAGTGCTGCTAGCATATGTGAAGCCCTGGGTTCAATCCCCAGTACAATCAAAAATAAAAATAAAAAGATTGCACTATTTTCTCTGGCTATAGTTCTTAAGTATGATCTAGGATCAGCAGCAATAGGCTGAGGACTTAGAAATGTAGATTTTCAGGCCCCACTCCAGATCACAAAATCAGAATCCCCTGGAGGGGGACCCAGTCATTTCTGCTATAATAAGCTCTCCAGGGGAATTGGAAGCAGCTGAAGCTTGAGCACTACTGCTCTGATCTTGGCGCACTTGTTCTGGATTAACTGGCTGACATTCGACATTTCCCACTTTACTGCACTGAAGGATATGCAGCTGCGAGTTTGAGTCCCACATCCAACAAACCCAACACGTTTTGCTAAACCCATTTTTGCAATGCTTGAACCGATTGCTTCACCTATAATTGTATCCTTCATGTAATCATAATGTTCTATAGTTTTATGTTAGTATTTGTTACCTCCTTAAAGTCTACTTGGAATTTCAAAATATTTGAGAAGAAAAGCTGTCTAGGTTCATCGTTTGATAAAAATTTGAATTAAATTGACTCTAATTAATTTAAAACAAAATGAATTATTATTTTTTCAAAGTGGTTAATGTTTTAAATTTTACTAAGGGTACTTGACTAAGGGTACTTGACCCCACTAAAATCTCAGTAATTTCAGAAGAAAATTCATATTCACATGAGATGGATTTCAAAAGAAAATCCCCTCTCCTCTAATCAGGAAAGAATATTTTCATAATAAAAATTACCCAAAATATATATTTAAATTTGTTCTTTAATATTTATTCTAGAAAGCCAAATATTGTATTCATTAATTATAGATTTAATATTATCATGCCAAATGTCTGGGCTTTAGAGGCATTAAGATTTTATTTCAACATATTTTCTTTGATTAATTTCCTATGCTTGAAGTTTAAAAACTCTGGGGATTTCTGGAAGAAAATACAGACTCTGATCCCAATGTGATCATTTATATTTAAATGACTCTGTGTGTGTGTGTGTGTGTGTGTGTGTGTGTGTGTGTGTGTGTTACATGGCACCTATTACTTTAGGACATCAACAATAATTTATGAGTTCTCTGGGATATTTTTAAGTGCACCCCAAATTAATTTTGCCAATAAAATTTCACCAAGAGAGAGAAGCACAATGTTGCCTTTCAAGAATAAAAACCTTTCACATTTCCCCAATTTTCTCCTGTTTTTCCATATTGAAATAACACAGACTCATCTTTTACCCCCTTGAATGAGGGCAGCTGGGGGTTGGCGGGGGAGGGGGGGAATGCATATATTGTGCACTGCTTTTGTTATTTATTTGCTTATATAAGCAAGACTGTGGGCTTTCTGAACAAGTACTAGACTTCCAAACCACAGGACTGATAAAATGGCACATAGCTTGCACAGCATGTGTGGACCACAGCTTCTAAGTGATGGATGGAATGCGATTAGTTGACTTGTGCCCGTCATAGCACTCCAATTATTTTATTTATCTTCCTTAGATTTCCTTTCAGCATCAGTTACTGAAAACGCTATTTGCAATTACATGATGGTCAACAAACTTCTACTAGGTTTCTGCAAAAGATACAGCTTGAACATAAAGATTCTTAACAAAGTTATATATAGGGCTACAGAGCTTTAGTTTTGTTATATATACTGTGTAAATTATACCGTATGTATAACCTCTTATCTATGCCATTCCTGGAATATTACAAACACACAGTGTGTCAATCTATTAAACTTAGGGATAACTTTTTTTTGTAGTTTTAAAAAGACTAATTACAATGTGAGGTACTAACATTGCCATTGTTTTGACTTAAGATTTGCTCACAATGTGAACGTCAATAAAAGCTTGCTAAATGGAAAAGGACCACTCTTCCTGCCAAAGGCCAACACCACAGCCAGCTCACATTCGTAATCCCTCATATTCGGAATTGTGTGTTATGAATGACTCAGCAAAGCTGGGCCACCACCAAATGGAACCAGAATTGCAGAGGCCCTGGAGGACACTGAGAACATCAAACCCACCATCATTCCATCTAGTAAGGAAAGTGCTATTTTCTGAAGAAGCAGGAAAATTGGTTTTCTTTAAGATTCCTTAACAGTTAAAAAGTTTGTGGAAGTTACCATAAGATAAAAAGAAAAATGACACAATAATTTCCTTGGACTTTCTACTCCAATGATCTCAATATATAATTTTGTAGTTTTCTGAACAACAAAATTATTTAGTTAAAGCACAAAACTTGGGCCAAAAAGAAAAAAGAAGTGGAAGGAAGGAAGGAAAGAAAATAAAAGCTTTGAGGAGGAAGATAGTAAAGATATGATAGAATAAAAAGATAAGAATTTGCCTTCTACATGATTAAAGAAGAGATAAAAATAAAATTTCATTTTAATAGAAATATATAAATATTTAACAGAAAAAAACACATATTTATATTCTCTTAATATACTCCATTGTATTTTACTAGTTTATTTGTCAGTAGATTTGGTCCTTAAGTCTATGGGTAGGATCAGTTGGAGATGGCGATTGCAGGCCCAAGTAATTTATCTGGCATAGTTAAAATAGAGTTAATAGCTCAGGACAGCACCCATGCGATATCCCTACTCGCCTTATTAACCGAACTGACAATTTGGCACTGAGTGTCAAAATACAGGGCCAAACCCACACACCCCCTACGCTGTTTTACTCAGAAGCCAGAGAGTGGTGATAAGGCAATACCCTCCCTGAGTGCGTGAACCCTGTAAGAACATATCTGCACCTCCACAGAGCTGCTTTGTGTAGCCAGTTGTTTAGAGAAGACCTCTTCAGTTGCCTTAATTATTCCAGGCTTAACAAACAAGTCTCTAAATTTATTGTTTCAGGCTTTGACCTTCTGGCGGCCATTTTTCCTTTTTGTCAGAAATATACACAATGGCTCCTTTAATGTAACCACTCTGATACAAAACAAACTGCATGATTAGAAAACTGTCCAAATCCCATTTGCCTGTCTATAAATTATAGATGACTTTCTTTCTAATCTCCTAATCTACTCAAATCCCTTTGAATTATCACTCTATTAACACTTGGGTTTATGTGGCCTCAGATTCAGTACCATTTATACATTAAATAAATGTGCAGTTATCATGTCTTCTTGATAATTAACAAAGATGTTAAGGACTGATGCCAATTCGGTGTCATGAGCTGGACACCTTCCACTACCTGGTATGTTTTTGTTTATGGTCTATTAAGCAGTTTTCATTTCTCCTTATGGGCCCATATAACATCCAAGCTAGAGGTCTCTCAAGTTATTGGCAATATTACAGACTATTAAGTAGCCTTTTCCTTTTGTTTTTAAAAAGTCATTTCTAAATTTAAACTGTAGACAATCTGAGGAATTACATTGGTCAAGACAGACATTTAAAGTTCTCAATTTTCTACCCTTAATCCCCTGTCCTCAAAATCATATTTGTTGTTTTATAAGATACATTAATGGTAGGGTGTCTCATTTTCAGAATAATGTACTTTTTTATTCTTATTTAAACCTTTTATTTTCCCAAATTATCATTTTTGTTCTGACTCCTTTTTCCCAATGGAGATATTAATATTTCAAATTTATATTGTTCTGACTTTATTTTTCATTGTTCTTAACATACAGAACATACATACATCTTGGTATGAAAGAAGTATTGGCATGCAGAAAGAAGTCAGTGGGTCAAACACATCATAGGGAGAGGTTTATTTGCTCTCACAGTCTACCTTGTTATGCAGGCCTCAGCTAGACAGGCTAATAAAGCTGTCAGGGAAGGGTGAGCTCCCAAAGGCTTCAGGTGTCAAAAATCTACAGTGCAACAATAGAAAATGTACATAAGCATTCACTTACCTGCTTTTGATCAACAATTATTTCGAGGTCTTCATCACTGCTTAGTTTTCCATATCCTTGTTCTTTACTTTTCTTGTGAAAGAATAATTTTAAATGATCATTTAGTTTCTTTCCATTAATAATCTTAATTCTCACATAATATTTTTTAAAGATAAAAGTCTTTACTTATCCTCATTACTAGTCATATGCATCATCCTCTGTCCATCTCTCATTACAACAGCAAGTGTTTTCAAACTGCTGGCTTATCATTATTATTTTTGCTTAACCTTCATTCAAATTATGCCTTTAATCATTTTCTCAATATTCTTATGCTTCCCTTGTATTTTGTAGTCAGAAAAAATTATTTTAACACTTTGAGATAAATAAGCAATTCCTTGAAGAATCCTAGCACATTTTTTCTTAAAGATTGAAACTTCATTTGTAATTATACTATGCTTAAGGCTTCAACTATTAAATGTTTTATTTTAATGTCTTAAATGTGTTTAAGAACAAAAAAAGTATTACACAAATCAGATAATAAATCTTCAGATTTTCAATATTGTCTATGAATCAGATGGATGCTGACATTGGAAAAAACAACTCAAGTAATTTTTCAAAGATAAAATAAATTTCAAAACTAGGTAGCTCAAAAGTTGGAAGAGTTCAGAGTAAGTACATCTAAAAAATGCATGTTATTGGCATTTTGTTATTTTTCTTGTTCTTATTATTGGTCCCAATCACCACTCCCATCCAACTCCCCCATAGCAAAATCTATAATTGTAAGTTCTAAAGTTGGAAAAGAACCTAGATTGTGACAATCAATTTGCAATTGCACACTTCAGGAGAATGACGGTGTGTTTGAGTTCTTTCTTTCCCCCAGTGCAGCAGCTGATGGGAATACAACCACTGCCATCTTTCTTCTTCATACCAGTAACAAATGGATCATAAAAATCACTACACAATTAATTATAGTTCATGTTTTTGGCAACCTTGCTTTAAATATTAACTACATCAACTAGAATTGAGATAATTAAAAATATTTTGTATACTTCAACCTACTGTGTCATATTAGGATCCCATCTATCTCATTAGGGTAAGAAATATATCTTTACACTGTGGGACACAATTCTTATCTGTTTATTTTTCTTTTATAGCATTTCAAAAACCAGATTTTACATATTTACTCCCCCCATAAACATACCTCTTATTTCTGTGTTTATCACTGTAATAAGATAATTCTGAATCTTTAAGTATCAGAATGCACAAATAAAATTCAAATTCTCATTCATACATTAATGAACTCAGCCACTTAGAACAGAACAGATGGCCACAATATTTCTCTCTATTTTGACTCTTGTCCTCATTTGAGGTTCCATTTCAGGATTGATGGAAAACAAAAAGAGCAAGGTTGGTTTCAGTCAAGCTGACTTCCTTCCTGTCACTTTGTTTTTATATCCTTTCAGTCCATTGGTTGCCATAAGATATTGTCCAGAGACCCTCTAAAGCAAAACATTTCTAAACGCCTTTCCAAATATTGATCTGTATACGTACCAAGTAGCTCATTTGCATGACCCGATTTCTGGACAAAAGGACATTAAGTAGAGATGGAATGTGAGTCCTTCCATCCATTTCACTGTCAGACATCCCAGAATTCCTTGCACCAGCGGCGGTGGCTTCATAGCCAGAACTTGCTGACCAGAGAACCACAGATCTTGCCCAGCAACAGTATTAATAATGTACAACAATAATTGATGTATTCCTGAATCATTGTCTTGACTTTGTAAACATTGTGAAATTTTTGGCTAGCACAAGAAAACCATTGAAATGAGAATTTCTTTAACTAATTTTCAATCTATGTATCTTTATGCTCTCTGACTCCTGTTCCCATTTCATGTTTTTTCCAAGATCACTTATTGTTTATTATACAATTTCTGTATTTAATCATTTGCATACGGACTGCTCAGCCTCCTTATCATAAAAGCTTTCAATTTTCTCTTTTTAATCCCCTGCCCCAGACTTTCTTGACAAACGCTGCTAATGGATATAATAACGTCAGCACTCACAAGACATTATTCAAAATTGCAATTTCTGCCAATATCAAATTCCACCTCTCCAATTTAATACCACCTCCTTATCTGATTTAGTAGTAAATTTTCCTGGGAAGAGGCTGGGTCAGAGAAGGAGCTTATATCCCCAACTATTCCAAGTAGAACTTGGCCCTTCCTAAGAGTGGGAGGAGGCATTACAGTTCTGATTTTGTACTTTAAGTCCCGACTCTCCAAACGGCACACACAGTACAAAGAGAAGAAAGTCTTACAGTTTTACTCTAGAATTAAGCCATATTTTCTAGTTTACCCCATAACCCGAGGGGGATTAATCCTTTTCTAAGCCATATATTCACTCACTTACTGCTTATTTCTAGTGCGAGTATAATCCTCTTTCAAGCACTCAGCTGCCCACTTTGACTGCTTAGATCAGCCAGCCCGGGCAGGATTCTTCAGCTCTCCTCCCTCCTCCCAGCCGGGAAGCCCTGTCTTCTATCTATGCACTTTGATCAAGCACAGAGAAGCAGGTCCATAGCTTTTGCGTGGCCTTTCCTATTAGCCAAAGGACTGAACTAGAAGGAAGAAGAAAGCTAATCTCTCCCTTGTCCAAGTGTGAGGGGGCAGGGCTTCTGTGGGAGGAGAAGCCAGAGGGTAATGGTTTCCTGTGCTCCTCCCACCTCCCTGTCCAGACACTGGAGCTGAGGATTTCAACTGAGGCAATAGGTTAGGGTCCTCTGGCCCCCAGCATGCTGCCTGCTTATGGCCAATTTTGTGCATTTCTCACTAAGTGCAGCTGAGGAGGAAGCATTAGTGCAAGAGAGCTAAAATGAGGAGGACTTTTAGGTGGGAGAAGCAGAGAAAGGGAGAAAAAAGGTAGCCCTCCTTTGCTGCCTTGCCCCTTATAAAACACTTTCAGCTCAGGGTAGTTGTTCTGCCTCTGAAACCCCAGTCTCTCTCACTTCCCCACACAATTAGCAGTTCTGAGTAACCTGAAGGAGAATTATCTGGCGTTGTTAGTGCTGATAACTTTTTAAATACTGTTCAGTTAGAACTGTAGTTTCCTCAAGAACATTGATCCTAACAGGGAACCTCAGCTCTGTACAGACTCTACCACCTCTTCTTAACCCTATCTACCTTCTGCTTCCTTCCTTTTCTCTCCCCACCAAAAGTAGAAGGGGAAAGTGGGTTGATTCACTTGAATTAAAGAAGCCACTATATTTTGAAAACTGCATAGGAAAACAATTTTCCTGACTACTGATGTAGGGTGTCACCTAGGAAAATTTAACAAGTAAATTACAACAACAAAATCAGATGGGATAGAGACCTGAAAAAAAAAAAAAAATGAAGTGACATGTTGATCTCAGAGTATGAGTTTTCCAAAAAGTTAGAGGTTTTAATTGAAAGACACCAGTCGTGTATGGATTGAATGAAAAGAATTCTTCACATTAATTAGGAATGGAATATATACATAAGAAAAGTTTAAAAAGGAAAAGAGTGCTTGATTTAAATAATTGTACAAATTATCCCCAAGTGCGTTTTTTTTTTGCCTAACCACAGATGCTAAAATAAACATAAAGATGAAAGATGTCATATAAATATTTCAAAAATTATTTATAATTATTTATTTACTACTGCAATGAGAGGTGCAAACTAGATTATTAAAGCAAATGTCACATGAAGAATATATACCATAGCTGCAAGAAGAAAAGGTCTTCCTACTGTCTTCTTCATAGTTGTTGAAATTCAGCGTCCAGCCTCTTATTTTTAATCTCTTTTACACTACCTTCCCAGGTCTTCAAAATTGCTTAGATTTTCCCGGTCCTAAAAGGTGACTTCTTCATTTCTCTTTACTGTTAAACTTGAAAGAATGGTCTATACTTACTAGAAACAGTTCCTTATTTTCTCTTCCCTTCTAAACCAATCATGATCAGGATGCATTACCAAATTATCTAGCACTCTTAGAACAAACTGAAGAGTATCAGTGAGAAGGAGGAGGGTTGGTAAAGAAGATAATAGATAACCTACTCATGGTACTTGTTGAATTTGTGGTGTCTTTGGAAAGTGCATCCAAGTGGAAAGAGCCAGTTGACATTTGGATACACCATTTGGATATATGGGTCCAGATCCAAGGAGAGAGATAAGGGCAGGGCTTTCAGTGTGTTGGAAATAATTAAAGTTGCAGGAGTAGGTGAGCACATTAAAGAAGAAAATAGAGAGCCTGAAGAGATGAGGACTGAAATCAAAGTCCATTCTAGAGAATGGTTGCATTCAAAGAATGGGCAAAAGAAAAGAAGTCAGTAAAGGGTGAGGAAGAGGAGAGAGGCCATGGGTGTAGGAGAAGAACCAATGGAACGAAAGGAAAAAGACTTCTAGATTGCATTAAATGCTGATAAAAGGCAAAATAAAAAGAATAGTAATGAAAACTTTCCTTATATTTGGCATTGGCAGTCATCAATGACTGGGAAGGGAAGAAGTGGTGAAGATGGAAGCTATATGAAGTTATTGGATACATTGGGAATAGGAAGTAAAGATAAGGAGAACAGGTTTTTATATTTTATGAAAGCTTGAATGAAGAGGAAGAGGAAGCAAGAAGGCTAGTATGGGAAGAGAATTCTGGGAAAGTCATTGTCCCTGCTGCCCCTTCCTTTATGGACAGGTCTTCAGCATATTGAAAAACTGTTTTTGTTTTTTTCCCCTTCAATTATGTGCTTTATCTCTCTAGGGAAAAAAAAAATACCTGGAGGACTATATTCCAAATACTGAGTCTTTTTCTCTGAGAGAAGGAATTATGCATGACCTGTGCATTTTTTTTATACTTTACAGTACTTTTTGGAAATAAAAATGAATTTTATAATTTAAAAAAGGGAACCAAATACCATTGCTTATGGGGGTCATAAAATTGTCATAGAAAGGATTCATTTAAAACGACTTTGCAGAAAAAAAGACTGGGTCAGGGCTTTACTCTTCCTTTATTATGTTTCTGGGAATAAAATTTTGTTTTTTTAAATGTAGTGATTTGTGCTGTAGTTATTGTTTGTGTCCCTTGTG